TATCTACATTAACTAAATCGTCTTTTTACCGTTCCCACCCTCCCCTAATCTATTTAGTTTATATTCCACTCCCTTCCGTACCTCCCCGATCAGTATATATTAACAATAAAAAAAATCTGAGTCTATTTGTTGCATGACAAAAGGCGACTCGGCTGAAAAGCTTAAGTTCTGTGGACTGCCAAGCCTTCTTTATGAAGGCTTTGATTCCTCTGCCATTTGCAACAGGTGAAAGGAGGTTCCAAATGACGGCTCCTCGATAGGCAATGCAGTTATTCATATAACAACTGTTAAAAAAATGATCCAGATCATCCCAAAGGATCGCAGCAAAGAAGAATATCAATGACGTCATCTATGTGTTTGTCTTCCAATAGGCCATTTTACAGTTGTCTGCTCAGTGACCTGGCCTTTGGATGGCAGCGAGGCTGGAGTTGACCTTGTTTTGATACAGACCTCACTGCTTTTGTCATGTAAATGCGCCTAGTTAGCATCAGAACAACTTGTTTTACGCAACAAAAGCAGTGAGGTCTGTATCAAAACAAGGTCAACGCCAGCCTCGCTGCCATCCGAAGGCCAGGTCATAGAGCAGACAACTGTAAAATAGTCTATTGATCAAAATTAAGAACCATTCAAAATGCTGGAATAATTTCGCAGAGTGTATATAGTTGTTTATTGCAACTACCCCAGTTGTGTCTCCAAAGTTCAAAAACATGTTTATAGACTTTCCTCACTAGGGAGTTTACCACGCAGTTTGCTGAGTGTACCTCAGCATAGTGATGTTTTGAAGACGTGATTGATCATGGCAGTTATATTCACAACTTTAAAAGCAGCTGTGAAGTTGTGATTATAACTTTCATGATCAACCAGGTCTTCATATCTTTCTCCGCAATTCAAATATATGGTCTTTCATATATTCACTTGTATAGTTCTGTTCTGTCAGCAATGTAACGTTCTCTTGTCAGAATAGCACTCTTCACAATGTAGACCCTGGCTACGTAGCACTGGCTACATAGAGGTCAGACTATGCTTATGGACAGCGATTGATCACTGAAGATTAACTCTGCAATTAAAGCATGCTATGAGAGCTCTCATGAAGTTTTACTGTTGTTTCTGTCGCATTGTTAGTGCATTTACCGAATAAAGCTTATTTTTAATTAAGCTTTATTCTGGCGACACTTCGATCATGATGATAACATGATATATAGTTCTTGCGAAAGAAAACTCTTCGCAATGAAGACTTCAGATTTCTACCGAAAGAGCCATATAACAACGGATCCAGTGCGGCATTGAGAAAAATAAAAAGTTGAGAGGCTTTCCAGACAACTCCAGGAGAAACCATGTGAAAATAAATTAGTCGGGTGATCATAAAAGGAGACCAACATAACACAAATGCTATAGTTAAAGCGGCGAGTGTCTTTGCAGCCTTCCTGTACCGTTGATTTGATTTCCTCATAAACAAATTACTTATTAGTACAACGCTTGTACCCGCATGCATTACCAATGGTCGACAAGACAAAAACAGCGCCATAAAATAAGCTAAATGTGACCACAGCGAAAGTCGAAAAACTGTCACTTATTACCATATTTGACGATATCTGTCGAGTGAGTATTATGATCCAGTCTAGTTGTCTTTAGAAATTAAGCTGGTTCTTGTTTTGCAGAATTTGGATACTAGTAAAATTCTAGACTCACCAAATCATTATGCCCAATTTAATTTTAAACAACAAATCCAGTCCGGGGTAAAGCCGGTTACGAATAAATATTTCAAAGGCGCATTTCACCAGAAAAAGCTGTAAATATTCGCCATCATATAATTACGTATCGGCTCAACATATACCAACACGTGCTTCTACCGGTAAATACTGGCTTCTGATTGGTTAGAAGCGGATCAATTTATTCCAAATTGTATCGATAGCCGAACAAATAGATGTTAAACAAAAACACGAAAAAACCAACCGAAACTTGACTCTACAGGTACGTGGGCTAACGAAGAAGTAGCTTGTAATTCCGGTTGTAGTATTATTAAAAGGAAGTCAATCTTTTTTCTCGAAGCAATAAAACAATTTCCACTTGTGCGGGCTGTGGCAGCCACTTGTGGAAATTACTGAAAAGTCCGATCTGTTCACGCGCACAATTAATCCCTAATTGTTTCTCAAACAGACCGATTTCCTATCCTGTATTTTTAATTTTGTCGCGTTCTTGTGATATAAAGTTAAATAAGAAAATATATACCAAATACAGAAAAAATCCCCTTAGGGACCGTTCATTTTTTATAAGGTAGGGGGGGCTGGTGGGATTTGGGGGGGGGGGCATGCGAAAAAAA